TCCAATTTGGCTTATAGTTTGGTCTTTAGTTTTGGAAGAGAAATTTGTATTAGTTGAGAGTTTGCCAAACCAATGTCCTTTAAAATGTCCAAGTTGAAAGGGGAAATTATAATTTGTTACACAAACAAATATATGTTGTATCTCTATTTAAATTTTATTAGTCAAAATAGTGATACTCGTCACTTTTTTTTGTCTTCTTTAACGACAAAACATGACACTAGTTATGAGATGAGTGATGTGGACCAAAATTAACTTGGTTCACTAAAAAAATACAATAAAAATCTCATAACCAAAGTTACTTCGGTTCAAAACAAAACAAGACAAAATCTTATAACTAAATCCACTTTGATTTATAACCAAACACCACAAAATGTTATAAACAAATAATAAGTCCAAGTAAAATTATTAAGTTGTGTAATTTTAATTGGCCAATGCAATATAAAAAAAAAAGAAAAAAAAAAGAGGATTTAATTTCGTAAATAACCCAAAGATTACATTTAATTGTTCCGAATAGTTAGATCTAATTATTATGTCAAATTTCAAAAATTTATTTATTTTCCAATTTTATATTCAATGTAAATCTTTTTTGATAGATCTTAAAAAGGGAAATTAAAAAAATAATCTGTTTGATTTTGTCTTTAAAATGTGTTCAATGAAAAATTAAAGTTAATGAAAAATTCTTTTAGTAAACAAATAATAAAAATTTCAAAAACACCCATTGTTTTCTTCTTCTTCTTCTTCTTCTTCTTCTTCTTCTTCTTCTTCTTTTTTATTTTATTTTATTTATTTTATTTTTTTAAAGCAAAAAGAAGATATCAAATGATATATAAATATCTATAGAATACCCAAAACAACAAAAAATAATGAAGTTAATATCCGTAAGATTCAAACAGCTTTTGCCTGCATTGTTTCATTCATTTATATTTATTTATAGGATAATTATACTTTTACCTCTTATATTTTGATTCAAATTTCATTTTGCTTCTTATAATTTCAAACTAAATAATTTAGTTGTTGTAATTTAAAATCAATTTTAATGTGGTCGTTCTATCTAAATTTTTATTAATTTTTTTTACATGTACATCCTAGGAGACTCACAAGTGTTCTAAAATTGTTAACCTTAACTTTCAACTTGACCGAAGTACCAAGCCGAAACTAGATTTGAAACGTAACAATTAAATTGCTCAATTTAAAACTATAAGAATTAAAGTAAAAATTTGAATCAAACTATAATGCTAAAAAGTGTAATTAACCCTTTATTTATTGACAACTCTTGCTCATCATATATAGGCCGTACCTAATTGGATTACATAAAATTTCAGCCCCAAACACTAAATTTTCATTAATTAAAACTAAATAAAAATTGGTGGCTTTTTAGCTCAACATTACTAGATGATTTATGTCACATTTTGAAACATAATACACTTTTGTTCAAAATTGATGAATTTAGTGATTCAAAATAATTTTAATTTTTTTTCTATTAATTTATTTCCTGGAAGGTGTCCTTAGAGGGGAAATCATCATACATACATATATATCTATATATATATAATGACTTTCATGTAAAAATGGGTCCTAAAAATGTATTTTTATATGATCAATGTGCAAAAATAGACTATAAATATTTGAGAGTAATTAAGGTCATGTTTAATTAGCAAGATTAATAGTGAGATGATTAATAATTTATGGAATTAGTGTTGAATTTGTTATCTATGTGGATTAGTACACTATATAATTCCTTTTATCCAGGTTTGTTTTGCAATGAATATAAAAATATATGTAATCTAAATTATACTTTTATTTTGCAGTATTATAGTTGTACAATTAGAAAACTCACCAATTTTGTTGGAAAGAATATGCATTGAAATCTAATCTGAATAAAAAAAATTACAGCCAAACACTAGAACACGAGTATTGTAGATTAAGAATTCTATCCCGATTCTATAATTTGCCCAATCAAACAAGTCCTAAATACTAATAATGGCCTCATTTGGGAAGTTAGCTATTTTAGTTGATTTTTTGACTTTTTTTTGGTTATTTTAGTTTGGTTTAAAATGTTGTGTTCGGGAAGATAGTTTTTTTTTTTTTTTTTTTAGTAGTTGATTTGATAATTGTGAGAAAAAAGTGAAATGATTATCGATTGGATGTGATATTTTGTCTTATTAACTATTTTAGTCTATTTTGTCATTATTGACTATTTTATCCCAAATAACCCAACTCTATCCTTTCCCAACCATAATTTTAAACATGTGATTTACCACAGAAGTTATTGAGTCAAATTTGTTAAAGTTAAAGACCTCAGCTTCATAAGTGAGGTTGGCATATTATGGAATCAATTTGGATCCATCTCCTAATCTGAACCATTCATCTCACATGACAAGTTAAAAAAAAAAATGTGAATATAAAAAATTAGAATAATCAAATATAAGTATTCACATGATCAAGTCACATATATATTATAACAAATGAATAATCAATTCTTAAAACCATGTATGCTATATAAATAAATATGATCTGATTGTATAACAATTTATGTTGGTTGAATTTGATATTTTGCATAGATAATTTTTTCAATTAATTATATAAGATGAATAATTTAAATTATCAAAATAAATCAAAAATAGTCCCATAATAATTAAACTTTTCATAAGGAAATTGACATCTTCAACTAGAACATCGGTAGTTGTTACTGCTTCACGTCCTCAATGCAACTTGTATTCCCATAATGTGTACTGCTCTCATATTTCCACAGTCACCCTCTTAGATGTGTATTATTTGCCCACTTATCACGTTTGTGTAAGTAATATGATTAATTGATAATTAGAGAAGATATGAGAGAAAATGTTACTTTTAATATTTTAATTGATTGCTGCATTATTAAACTTGAAAAGTGAATCTAATTTTTGGTCTTCAATAACAAATACTCTTAATACTAACAAAATTTCATAACTAAGGCCTCATTTGGGAACAAGGTTTTTTAGTAACTTTTTAATTGTTTGGCTAAAAGATAAAGTAAAAAAACTAGTGTGTTTGAAAAGAACATTTTAACTTTTTACGAAAAAATGTGAAATAAAATAATATATAGTAAAAATGAGTAAATTGACATTTTTGCCCTTCAAGAGTGATCTGTTGTTCAATTGGTGAGAGAGTGAATTTACCTGACATGCTGCTAGGTGAAGTGAAGCAGGAGAGGGCTAGCAGCATGTAACCTATATGCATGGGAATAGGGGGTTGTTGCCACATAATGGTCCTGTTTGGTGCAGTTTTTTTTCAACTTATTTCAGCTTTCAACTTAATTTAAGCTATTTTGATGTGTTTGGTTTAACTTAACAATGCAACTTATGACTTTTTGTAAGTCAGAAATCAGCTTATTCTTTAACAGCTTATTCTTTAAGTGTGGCAGGAGAAGCTTAATTTATAAGTCAGAAATCAGCTTATATTCATAGTTATAAGCTATAAGCTGTTAAGGTATAAGCTATAAGCACTTTTCCACAACTCTACCAACCAGGGCCAATATTGGACTTCATATAATGGACTTCACCAATTTTGTATTTCGAAAAAATACTCATAAAAAAATTTGTTACAATTTGATTGACGAAAATGTTTTGTTGTAATTTGTGGAATGTAATAATTGTATTATTTTTTTTTAAAAAAAAAAAAATTCTTTTCAAAACTCATTATGAAACTATTTTCACAACTTCCCTTATAATTGTAAATATTTCCAAACTCTTTTCAAATCTTCATTCAAAACTCATGAACACATCAATATCAAATTCATTGTAAAACTCTATTTTCCCAAAAAATATATAAAAATAAATCAAATATTGGACTTCACCAATTTTGTATTCCGAAAAAGTTCTTATAAATAAAAAAACTATTAATTTATGAAAGTGTTATGTTATAATTTGTGAAATGTAATCGGTTTGTTTGGTTTGGTTTTTCAGGATTCACTTAACAAAAAATTAGAATTTTAAGTTTTCTGTATTGTTTTTTTTTTTTTGCGCTGAATTATTTTAATATTCTAAGCAATTTATTTAAGTATTAGATACACCTAACATAAATACACTGAAAAATAGAATATTTTTGAAAAGAATCTTTAAAAAATTAAATAGCAAAATTTTTTTAAAAAAAAATGTTAATCAGTGCAATACATTTTCTGTATAGTTGTGTAATTATTAATTTTGTAATATAAGGGGTTCGATCAGAAAGGAGGGGCTCGGTTAGAAATTAGAATTAAAAAGCAAAAAACAAAAACAAAAAAGAGGGGTAAAAGGGTCATTTCACCTCTTCTGTGTCACAAATCACATGATTGCAACATAGCCTTAGGTGTATACAATAAAATGGTAGGCTTTGATTTTTTTATTAACTTTTTAACTTTTTAAGGTAAAACTCTCGCATGCGAAATGAGACCTAAATACTAACACAATTCATAATTAGTACTAACAAAATCTCATAACTAAACACCAACATAATTCATAATTAACACTACAAATACTCATAACAACATGTAATACACAACATTTAACAAAGTACCTACCATAAAATTTTGGTGGACTTACGTATAGATCCTATTAGGTAGACTCTAATAGGTCTTGTAATAATTAACATTGTTTTTTATCAAATACTATTAAAAAAGTCACTAATTATTAATTTTTAGCAACAGTTAAAATTTTTTTTTTACAAAAACGTTACTAATTATAAGTTTTAGCAACAGTTTAAAAAAATTATCACAAAAAAGTCACTAATTTTTAAATTTTAGTGACAGTTTGAAAAATTTATCACAAAAAAGTCACTAATTGTAAGTTTTAGTGACAATTTATAAGAATCGTAATAAAAAAATATTACTAATTGTCAATTTTTAACGACGATTTTATTTGAATTAGCTTTCAATAGAATTTAATGAGAATTAAGTCCAACTACTAAAACCTATTAATAATTTTTCCTAAAATTTTTCCTATATATAGGAATGAATTAGACTAATAAATCAGTACCTACTTCCTCTCATCCTTCTCTTCTCTTGATCCTTTGTACTTGTTTCTCCTCCTTTACAACAAAACAAAACCAAAAATAAAAATAAAAAATGGAGCGATTGATATGGTTGTTCCAATTCCTTTTGTATTTCATGCAATATCATCAGGTTTCTTGTTCATCATCTATCTCTTCTTTTTCTACTTGTACACATCATTTGTGTCCACATGACCAGAGGTTTGCATTGTTGCAATTCAAGCATATGTTTACTATAAACACCTCTGCATCTGATTCTTGGTCGTGTGGCGATTTGGCTTCTCCAAAGATGTTATCTTGGAACGAGAGTTGTACTGATTGTTGTTCGTGGGAAGGAGTCACGTGTGATGGTCTGACGGGTCACGTGATTGGGCTTGACCTCAGTTGTAGCCAGCTCTATGGCAGTATCCATCCTAACAGTAGCCTCTTCCAACTCTCTCACCTCCACCGCCTCAATCTCGCCTTCAATCACTTCAATCACTCCCACATTCCATCAGCATTTGCTCACTTTACCAATTTGACACATCTCAACCTATCTGCTTCCCATTTTTCAGGCTCAATCCCATCAGAAATTCACCACCTGTCCAAACTAGTTTCACTCGATCTCTCCTATATAGGTATTAGACTTGAACCGCACAATTTCAGAATGATGCTCAAAAACCTAACCCAATTGCAAGAACTTGTCCTTTTTGATGTAAACATATCTTCAGTTGTATCGATGTCTTTGACGAATATGTCTTCTTTGACATATCTCGATCTTAGTTACACCGGGTTGCATGGGAAATTACCGGATAGCATTTTTCACCTTCCAAACTTGCAAATTCTCTATTTAGGAGGCAACTTTGATCTCACTGGTAATTTACCCAAAGTAAACTGGAGTAGTAGTAGTTTCCTCCAGCGGTTGGATCTCTGGTTTACGAGTTTTTCTGGAGAATTACCTGATTCAATTGGCTATCTCAGGTCTTTGACGTCCTTGGATCTCGGTGGTTGCAAATTCTCCGGGTCCATTCCTGAATCACTCGGGAACCTTACACAGATCACTTATATATACTTGGGGGGAAATAGTTTGACCGGTCAGATCCCATTTACTCTCTCAAATCTTAATCAGCTCATTTCCTTGTATCTTTTTGGAAATAATCTCCGTGGAAAAATTCCTAATTTTATCGGTAAGCTGATAAAGCTAGAGTATTTAGCACTTGGAGATAACAATTTCAATGGTCCATTTCCATGTGGGGTAGCCAACCTGACGAAACTTGCTATTTTAGATATATCAAGTAATGAACTGATGGGTCCCATTCCCTCCTGCATTAGTGGGCTAAACAACCTACAAGCACTTTACTTGCACAATAACTCACTGAATGGGACACTACCATATTGGTTGTTGAATCTTCCGTCATTGACGGAATTACGCCTGGGTAGTAATCGACTAACTGGCCAAATTCCTGAGTTCCAGCATAAATCAAAATTGATGCTCATTGACTTGAGTCATAATGAACTACGTGGCCCCATTCCACAATCAATTTCAAATCTTGTGAATTTGACCCAACTTGATCTTTCGTCAAATAATTTGAGTGGTGTTCTAGAGCTACAAACATTCTCAAATCTAAAAAATCTTGATAGTCTTGATCTTTCATACAATAGTCTGTCAGTGAGCACCATCAACAATATCAACAATACCTTGCCTACGCTTAGGTCCTTCTATATGACTTCTTGCAAGATAAAGGAATTTTGTGATTTCTTTAAAGCCTTAGAGAATGTTGAACAACTAGACATTTCCAACAATGAAATTCATGGAAAGATTCCAAAATGGGCTGGCGTCATCGGGAAGGCTTCATTGCAGTACTTAAATCTTTCCCACAACTTTCTAACAGGTATAAACCAATTTCCTTGGAAGAATCTTGACACTCTTGATCTTCGTTCCAACTTGATTCAAGGACAACTCCCAATTCCACCACTCTTTGTATCTTACTTCTTCTTTTCACAAAATAAACTCACTGGAGAAATTCCTTCTTCAATTTGCAATGTGAGATCCCTTTCCATCCTTGATTTGTCTCACAACCACTTGAGTGGTGCAATTCCACAATGTTTGGGAAACTTCAGCAACATTCTATCTGTATTAGATCTGCGGTTCAATGCCTTTCAAGGGAACATCCCAATGATATTTGGAAAGGGTAATCAGTTGGAAATTCTTAATTTGAATGGAAATCAATTCGAAGGACCAGTTCCACGATCCTTAACCAATTGTAGACAGTTACAAGTTCTAGACCTTGGAAACAACAAGGTAAATGACACTTTTCCATATTGGTTGGGGATACTTCCAGAGTTACGGGTTCTTGTCTTGCGATCCAACAAATTTCACGGTCCAATAGACACTTCCAAGCCAAAACTCTATTTCCCTAAACTCCGAATTGTTGACCTCTCCCACAATAAGTTCACTGGTCATTTGCCAGAGAGATATTTCAAAATTTTCAAAGCTATGAGGAATAAAACTATGCCAAATGAAAAATATTTGAGTGTTCGATCGTATTATCAAGATTCTGTTACGGTGACGATGAAGGGGTTTGATATTTATTTAACGAGAATCTTGACTGTCTTCACAGCAATTGATTTATCATCTAACAAATTTAGTGGAGATATTCCAAATGTCATCGGAAGGCTTAATTCTCTCATAGTGCTTAATTTATCTCGTAATAGCCTTACAGGTCTTATTCCATCATCTTTAGGAGACTTGACAGAGCTTGAATCACTAGACCTCTCTTCAAACCAGCTTATTGGGAAAATTCCTAACCATTTATTGAGTTTGACATTTCTTGAGGTCTTTAACCTTTCATGTAACCATCTCGACGGACGCATACCTCGAGGCAAACAATTTGATACATTTGGAAATGATTCATATGTTGGGAACTTGGGATTATGCGGGTTTCCATTGTCAAAGGAATGTGAAGATAATCAATCACAAGTTCAGCCGGGGGTGCTATTACAACAGGAAGATGACTCAAATTTTGTAAGTGGATTTACTTGGGAAGCCGTGGTGATGGGGTATGCGTATGGAATGGCATTGGGATTGGTTCTTGGTTTTCTCATGTTCTTAACTGGACAACCAAAGTTGTTTGTAAGAATTGTCGAAGGAAAAAAGCATAAAAAGGTGAAAATGTTGAGACAAGGTGGCAGAAGAAATTAGCAAACATGGATTATGTTTTCAGGTATGTGATGTTGATTCTTAGTTTTAATGATTTATTTTGTTAGTTATCATGAATCATGATTGTATTATACTCTCTAACTTCATGGTACTTGTTGCTTTTTTCTGATTCTATATCTTTAAAAGTTTACTATCTAATTACAGAATAAGTAAAAGGTTATTATATATATTCTGCTAGGGGTCCTGCCTAATGCACATGTAGTTCTTTTTGTGAATGAGTAACACTATGAGCAATTCACTCAAGAACTAGCAGTTATACATATAGAAGTTTTGTTGTGATTAGGCATTAAACCATGGCTTATGTTAATGCAGTTAGTTTCAAAAGCTAGTTTTGTACTGAAATAAACTATATGATTGGATTTTCTATTCGTCAATCTTGATATATTTTCCCAAATAGTTTTGTTTTCCTCAATTTATGCTATACATCTTGATCATCATGATTAGCTGCAAAATTTTATCTCTGGTTGACTTTGGAAATCTTCATAGTTCACCCATAAAAGTTGCCAATTCAAGGTTATCTTATTTTCGCGTGAGACCAGTAATTCACCACATTCCCCACCTTTTATTATTTATTAATGCTCAGATACATGTATTATATGCATAAAATATTTGAATGAAAAGATGCACCAATTTTGGCCCCAAAAGGCAGAACCCTATGAAGGAGGTGTTATCTTCTTTTTTTTTGGTAAATCTATTTTACATAGACTCAAATATATGTATCGGTTATGAGTATTTGTCTGAGGTTCGGATTCACCTAATTCTCATCCAAAACGACAGGAGGACATGGATAAATTTCATAATTGAAGGGACGAGATGTAATTTACTTTTTATATTTGTATATTATGCGTAATTTAGTTTTATAGTTAACTCGTTTACTTAAAAATATTTGTCTATTTTGCACTCATATCCCCTGCCTTAACCCAACTGTCAATTCTCAGGCATAGATATTTCACATATTTAGAATAGTTCACTTAACACAATATTTAATTTTCCATCATACTTTAACTCTAAGGCAGCCTTTAGTTGATTGGAATGATTTTGGGTAGAATAGAATGACTATTTCTTGATATCACTCAAAAAAATTGTCAATTTTTTAAGGATAAAAACAGTTCTAACCTCTATAGTATTCGTTTCATATTATTTTAGTCTCTTAAGTTTCAATTTTATCATTTTGGTTCTTAAAGTTGTCAATTTAAGTTAATTTGATAATATCTCTAATGTCCGTTTACATAGATAACGGAAACGTATTTTATCCTTGGATAAAAGACAATTTTGGTCTCTAAAGTATGCACTTCTTGTCATTTTAGTTCCTTAAGTTTTAATTTTATTATTTTGGTTCTTAGAGTTGTCAGTTTGAGCTACAGGTGGCCATCGACCCGTTGGCCCGCTCAGCTCGACTCTATTTTTTTAGGGTTTGGAAAGGTTGTTTTAGCCCATAGTGTCTGGCTGGATCAATATTTTTAGCCCAATATATTAATGTGATGAGTTAAGAATTTTTACTTTCAATCCAACTTGGCCCAGCTCAGCCAGTTATTAATTTAATTAATTTTAATATATTAAAAAATATATATTTTTTTTTTGTTGAGATGTAGACTTTATCTTTATTAATTTTATTGAAATTCACATTTGTAGTGATGTTTAATTCAATTTATTTAAGAAATCCTTCAATTTATAATGAAATTCTTCAATTTATAATGATGTCAGTATATTTATTTAAGAAAATATAATGAGTGATTAAATTTAATTATGAAATGTTTTAATTTTTGTTTTTAACATATAGGCCAATGGGTGGACTTGGGATTTGTAATTATTTTTTGGTCGACTTGGACAGATGTAAAGGCTGACATTAGGACCGGGTCAGACTTGGGAAGATATAAAATCCCTTATCATGTAGTGACGGTCCAACCCGACAAATGCTCACATCTAGTTTGAGCAAAGACCAAATTAACACAAATTGACAACTTTGACGACCAAATAACAAAATCAAAATTTAAGGGACTAAATTAACACAGAATACATACTTTGAGAACTAAAATTGTCTTTTATCTATTTTCCTGTTATCAATGTAGATAGATGTTAGACCTAAAACTAAATTGACTTAAATTGATAATTTTGAGGACCAAAATAACAAAATTGAAGCTTAAAGGACTAAAATGACAAGAGCGCATACTTTAGGGACTAAAGTTGTCTTCTATCCTTTTTCTAGATTGGTGAATAGTGATTTTATTTGCAATACACATTCCTTTCTTTTTTACCGAAACAATGGAATAATCAATACCATTCCAACATTTATTCCACTTAATCAAATACTAACTTAGAAGCCAAATGGTATGTAAAGCTCCAACAGCTTGCTAGTTTTACATTTAGGCATGTTTGTTTGGACGAACTTGGCCATAAGATTGGACTAATAATCTAATAAAATGCATAAATACATAGTATTCCTCGTACAAAATAAAAGATTAATGAGAGGTTTGGACTATCAATCTCATCGTATAACCCCATACCAATCCAAATATAAGATATGATACACAATCCAAAAGAATTAATAATCCCAAACCATCCTAATAATGCTAATTCCATAAATCCAATCCACTCAAACAAACATATTATTGAATTTAAGGGAAAAACCATTGGATTCAAGCTATCCACCAATCTATAATGTGTATTTGTAAGTCATAGTAGCAATTTGCATGCCACGTCTAACTAACTATATGACAAATAAAATAAAAGTTATTGTAGTGAATTTTGCGACCTGCAGTTAAATACAAAGTAGAAATACAAAAACCTCATTTCATGACCCTATTTGAATATTGGCCAATGCTAATTTGTGGATTGACATGGTGATTATGGTTTATAGCTATGATTCTCGTTATGTATTTCGTTTGTACTGACTAATTTGTTAAAGGCTCTCTACTGTCTTATTAACTTTTAAATATTTTTTCAAATTTAAAATTTAAATACAACCTCAATTCTTTAAGCATAATAAGCCACCCCCACCATCTATGTGATATCGATATTGTTTGCTTTGGGTCTGTGGAACATCACGATATGCTTTAGGTCCGTGGACCATCACAATTTTATCTTTATGTCCTCTCACAAAAGAACTCACATAGTTCAGGATGGGTTATTCCATGTATGGTCGGTTAGACTATTAATATCTATCCAATATGGGATTGAGGTGACACACGTGTTGAAGTTGAACACATATTGCCTATGCATTCTTTATTTTCTTTGTTTTTATTTTTATTTTTGAGAAAAATCTATTTTACCTCCTTTTAGTATAACTCTATAACACTTTACCCTTTATGTCTTCTTCTTTTATTTTTTGCTCTTTGTAAATAAATAAATAAATTTGCCCCCATGACTAAGCAATAAGTTTTAAAAAAAAAATGACACAAAACTAATTTAAGAAACTAGAGTTCCCTAAAAAAAATTTAAAATAAACTTCATTTTTAATTTTAATTAATTTATGATTTCATTTGTTAAATATATATGTACATGTTTAATTTAAAATTTTATTAAATAATAAATTGAGCCAAAAATTAAAAATTAGATTGCATGACTTTTATGATTTAATTTGTTATATATATGTATTATGCATATGTTTAATTTTAAATGTTATTAAATAAGGTAATTTTATGGTAATAAATTATGGTGTTTAGTTTAATTTATGATTTAATTTGTTATATCTATATGTTTATATTTATTTTAAAATGTTATTAAATAAAAAAAATGGTTAAAGATTAAAAATTAGGTTTTGACAATGTGATGATTAATTTTTATAATAATAAATTAAGGTGTTTAGGTTAATTTAATTATATATATATATATAATATGTATGTTTAATTTTAAAAAAAAATTAGATAGTAATTTTTAATAACATTTAAAATGTTATTAAATAAGAAATTTAGATTAAAAAAAATAAAAAAATTAAAAAGGTAAAACAAGGCTAGATTCGTTTTCTTACATTGAAATTTAATTTTGATAGTTTTTTTTTCCTTCTTCACTTTCAAAATAAGAATGTGAGACACACTCTCTTTTAGTTTGGATGGAAAATGTAACTGTAATACTTTAGTTCAAAATATGTGGTTATTTTTAAAAGATAGCGAGGTAAAATGCTATTGGGTCATATCATAAAGAGGTAAAAACAAGGCTAGATTCGTTTTCTTCCATTGAAATTTAATTTTAATAAAAAAAAATTTCCTTCTCCACTTTCAAAATAAGAATGTGAGACACACTCTCTTTTAGTTTGGATGGAAAATATAACTATAATACTTTAGTTTAAAATATGTGATTATTTTTAAAAGACATGGAGGTAAAATGCTATTGGGTCATATCACAAAGAGGTAAATAGATTTTACCCTTTATTTTTTGCATAAAACTTGAATTTTTTGCCTATTATCCACTCTTCATTATCAATAATTTCTTAAATTTCATGCATTTTATTTGCGATTTCATGTTACCTCGTCATTTTCCCAAATTCTTATAAACTAAGCACTTGAACTTACATGTTTTTCTCTCTAAATCCTTGTTGCAGGTTAAGACAGAAAACTATTATTGCTATTGTAACATATGATAATGTTGGAATAATGGAGTTGGTGGTTGAGGTAGACATGGACAAAGTTTGGGCTAATATTTGATAATATTGTTGTAAAAGTAGATTGAGTGATTGTCATATGGTACTATTTGTGATGTTGGCTTGATTGTGTATTCTGTTCTACTATGTTCTATGTTTGTGATTGCTTCTTTTTTTCTTTTTCTTTTTTTCATTTTCTCAATGAGTGTATATTTTATTCAATTTTTTTTATTATTAGACATAGAGATAGTGGATTCATTCATATGTTTGACTTGGTACAAAGAAAAGCATGCATGAGTATTATCATTTAAAATTAAGGATTAATTATTACTTAAAAGTCCTAATGTCGGTAGGTGTAGTAGCTCAAGTCCTGTGTAATAGTGTTTAGACGCATAAGTCCCATTTTGGAATGCAATTGATGTTTCTGCCCTTTTGAATCTAACGTTTTAGAGATGCAACTTCAGAGAAACAAAAGGACTTGGAACGTCCCAAAGAAAATCTACAACTAGAAGGAGCAAAGTCTGCATCTTCATCGATCTTTTTAAACACTAGATGATGATGACCGTTTGGATTATTTGAGGATTTTTAAGTTGGAGGTTTGCGATGCCTCAACCTTTTATGCTTCCGGTTCTATATGTTCTCTTTCTTCATCACTTCGATTCGCAACGACTCTCTATTTGCATGTAAATGCTTGATTGCTCAATTTCAAGGTTCAGAACAGAGCACATTAAATCGACTAAAGAGATGGGTCAAGAGATCTAGCTTGTAGGTAAGAACTGAGATATTCTCAGTTCCAAAACTGAGAATGTTCTTAATTTAAAATTGAGAATGATTTCAATTTGCAAAAATATCTAGTAACATGATAAATTGAATAGATTGTGATTATCGGATCAACTTAATTTTTTTGTGAATGAAACATACGAAATACTCGATAAAATGAACTATTTGAATCATCAAAACGGGTTAGTAATGAGATTCAGGAGCCCAAACAATACTCTTCAGTCTAGATTATGGACAGAAAGGAATCCTCCATAAATAAAACATCCTATCATTCAATATTGAAGTCATCAGCTATAACTATATATAGAACAAATCATATAATATAAACAGGATTTTCTCCTAAGAAACTTTAGAACTGTGTCACGTGTCACTTTTACCCTCTTAGAATTTTGCCAAGTCTCCTTTCTATAATTAAAGAAATAAATTTATGTCTTTTAAGGCCTTACTTAGAAACATACTATTTTAGTTACTTTTTAATTTTTTTATTAAAATATAAGGTAAAAAATTAATATATTTGGCTTATTGGCTTTTTTGTATAGCTTATTGGTCTTTTTAATTTTTTTAATGATTTTTTGACTTTTAAACTAAAATTCAATATTGCCAAGCAAGGCCTAACTTTTAAGAATTCCATTTTCCTCTTGCATTTTTTCTCTCATCTCTATCTTTTCTCTTTTATTCCTCTACGTCATTCTTATTTTTTCTACGAATGCATTATTTTGTATTTATATTTTTTAGAGGTACTTATGTATAGGTCCTGATAAGTAGATTTATTGTCTAGTAAATCCTATGATAATTAATAACATTTTTCATCAAACACTATTAAAAAATGTCACTAATTGTTTAATTTTCAACGATAGTTTGAAAATTGTCACAAAAAGTGTTATTAATTATAAGTTTTAGCGACAGTTTAAAAAAATTATCACAAAAAAGCGTTACTAATTTTTAACTTTCAACGACAATTTGAAAAATTCGTTACTGAAAAACGTCACTAGTTATAAGTTTTAGTGATAATTTATACAAAATGTGTCCAAAAAAAATTACTAATTGTCAATTTTTAGTGGCATGCAAAAAAATCGTCACAAAAAATTATTTTTAGTGACAATTTTACTATGACTTATTTTACCATATATTTTAATTTATACTCTATATATTTATGTTTATAAATTTTAATAGAATGTAGAAGAAAATTATGATTTTGAAATACTTAGGCCAAGTTTGGCATGATTGAAAAAAGACAAAAAGTCAAAAAGTCACTATCTTATTTAAGTCACATCATCTTATTTAAGTCACATCATCTCTCTAACACATCACTTCAAACACAACCCAAACCCAACCCATATTTCATAAAAAGTCAAAAAGTACACTTATTTAGTCTTCCCAAACTAGGCCTTAGTATGGTAAAGCAAATGTAACGGTATTATAATAATTTTTTAAAAAAAATAAAATAAAGAAAAAGAAAAAGAAAGAGGGGGAATTTGATGGTCTACCTATAGAAATTAGGAGTACATGAATACGCGTAGGAAATAATGTGAATGTAACATGTAGATTTAATTTATAAAAAATAAAAATAAAAAATAAAATAAAATAAGTCTCTTTTTCACGAAATCCTTTCAGTAAGGGGGGAAAAATGTAGATTTATAAAAAATGTTGATGGTCAATGACTTTTATCATTGGTTTTGTTAATTCTATTAATTTTATAATATGACATTAAAAATAAGAAAATATTACTGAATTGATGTTATGTAGGCATTATAGAATTAGAATCCTTTTATTTGTTGTAAACTATTTTCATCAAATTACACTTTTTTGATCCTTATAATTTCAATTTACTCGATTTTATCGCTAAACTTTTGACTTTGTCTCAATTTGATTCAATATTAAAATTGTTAGCATTTTTTTTTTATGAAAAATGCACACATAAATATATTTTTAGGGGCAAATTTATAAGCACGATCAACTCAAGGAGTTATCCTCAACCAACTCAATAATAATTTTTTTGTTAAAAATCCTAACAATATTATTAATTGGACAAAAGTGACACAAAATCTAAAATTAAAGGTCAAAATTGAATCAATTGAAAGTGTAGAGACAAAAATGACACTTGAGGAGTTAAAGAATAAGGATAATTGATATAATTTGCTCTTTAGTATTTTATGGGGGAAAAATTGGATAAGGGGTCACTGCTGTGCTTCACGCACAGCAGTGACTGTGGTGCCTCTATTTGAGGTGTATTATGGCCTTATTTTTATAATTCAAACCGTCTATTTTGTAAGGTTTGTTGAGTACTTCATGCCTACCAAAAATCATATTAATCAGATATCAACAACTGTATGATCGACAACCAAAAAAATAAATAATAAGTTTTATTTTGAGAAATAACATAAATAATATGCAATTCGATCATATGGTTTTCGATATTCAATTAATATGATTTTTGGTAGGCATGAAGTACTCAACAAACCCTACAAAATGGACGGTTTAAATCATAAAAATAAGACCATAATACACTTCAAATGGAAGCACTACAGTCACTATTGTGTTTCACGCACAGCAGTGACCCCTTATCCGGAAAAATTAGTATTGACATAACATTATACAAATGCAACATTTTATCATTATTTATTGCTAAAACATAACTACAGCTAATCATCAAACTATTGAAAATGCTATTTATGACACCACGTTGGACAAGTAATTATTAGAGGTGGCAAATCGGCAAGTTTGAATGGGAAATGAGCCAAAAGAGTGTTAGGCCAAAACTACCCATTTAGATAGCAGGTTGTATGCGGTCGGGTTGGATGCGGGTCATAGTAGACCAACCCAACCCCCCTTTCTTTTCTTTTTTTTTTGTTTTTGTTTTGTTTTGTTTTTTCAAGCCATGCCTTTCACTAGTTTTGTTTATGAATCACAACTATCTATTATAAGTAAATGATTAATATTTTTTAGCATAACTTTCAATGGTTTTGCTCCAAAACACGTTAACCATCTACTGTAATATATATACCTTAATATGTTTTTCATTGATTTTTTTAAAGATATTAAAAACAAGAAAATAAATAATACGATCTAAAGAAATAGATAATATGACCATAGAATTCAATGTGCAAATACGGGCGGATTAAAATGGGTTAAGTAACAAAATAACTTAATCTAAACCCGCCCACTTAATAAACAGGTTAGATAAAATTGAGTATGGGTTAGACAAATCAATTCAACTAACTTGTTTATTTTAATGAACTTCTTTTCTAGTAAAATAAAAAAGAAATGGTACCAAACAAAAAATGTCAAAAATATTTTTTAGAAATTACTAATGTTGCATAAAATGCAAAAAAAAAGTTTTAAATTAAAATATTAAGATGTATAACATATATATAATTAATTTAATTTTTTGTAAGATGTATATTAAAATATATATGTAAATAGAACTAGAAGGAGTTGAAAAGAGGAATTCAAGAATCCAAGTTAGAGAGAGAGAGATTTAAAAGGTGTAATATATTTAATTGTTTGGTTTCAATTTTAGAATTTACTTTTAAATTTTTTTTAGCAAATAAAAATTAATTTGGAAAAATTGAACACCAAAAAAATATATGAAAATTGAAAGGGTGATTTGTGAACAAATTGGACCGAGCTAGGACGAGTGTTCTTTAGAAGTTGGACCGCACAATGGGCCAAGGAGGTATTTTGTATTTCGGCTTTGGGCCGAGGTAGGTACCGGGACGGTTGGATGTGTTGCTGGAATTGGAACCTATCTACCTTCTGACCGAGATTAGTAGCAGGGCGATGGGCCGAGCTGGGTATAGCTCGGCATGATGCCAACCTGTGACAGGGTTATCACGGCTTGCCCATGTTGAGCACGGAGCCGAAGTAACTTGGTTGACCGTAGTGTCAGCCGAAGTAAAAGGTTCAGCCATCTCACTTGGTTTGTAGTGATGAGGGTGTTATCCTTCGGAATGTGATTCCTAAGAGGAATCTTATAAGGAGAGTTGGAGTCCTACTAAGATTGTACTAGGTGAAGTTTATAAAAGCTCATGACAAGACCTATGTACAGGTATCACAATTTTTACTTTCAAATACACAAAGCTTTGGTGTCTATTGTCTATTTGTTGACTTAGGCATCGGAGAGGTTTCCGGCACACACCCGCCGGCTAGCTCACGTTTGTGTTTTCAGGTGATAAAGCGACAACATTTGAAAAAGAGCAAACTTGATCAACAGGATTATACGAGAAGATTATTTCGTGCTCATACAATTGGCACCGTCTGTGGAAAAACACAAAGAACAAGACCTTTTGATTAAGTTTTCCTCTTTAGTTGAAATCAATGGCGCACAATGAAGATTTGTCGCAATCTGCTATTGATGGGCAAACCCCGAAAGGGGGTGGGAGACACTAAGGTTTACCTTTTATCCCACCCATGGCAGAGTTAGACCCCCAGCGACGGAACTCCCGGAGGGACACACAGGAGAGACGGGGCTCCAGTCCTCGTCGTTCTCAAAGTCCTGAAAG